ACAATCTGCTTCACCATTTTGGTTTTCAAGTTCTTTGTCAGGCACATTGTCATTAACATTAAGGGAACTATATGAAGTTGTTGGATGGTCTGTTTTTATTGATAAGCTTGCAGACTCTGTATTGACGCACTCGTTATTCTCATTTAAGTTCTGCTGTCGCGAACATGTGCTACATGGTTTCCTTGATAAAGCGTCTGCGTTACCATGACTACGACCAGGCCTGTGAATAACGTTCATACTATATGTACTCAACTCTTGTAGCCAGCGAGCTGTTTGACCAGTTGGTGCCTTCAAGTTACGCATCCAGCTTACAGCTGAATTATCAGTGCGGAGTAAAAACGTGCGACCATATAAATAGTGGTGGAAATGCTTGAGAGCTCTTACTACAGCCAAAAGTTCTTTTCTGGTAATACAATAAAGTCTTTCGTGTTTGTTCATGGTCTTGCTCATGTATGCGATCACATGTTCTTTGCCTCTTATTACTTGCGACAAGACAGCCCCTGTAGCATGATCACTAGAGTCCGTATCTAGAATGAAGTCGCAACCTGGCTGTGGGTATGCTAGAATTGGAGCAGTGGTGAGAGATTCTTTAAGTTTGTCGAATGCTTTTTGACAGTTTTCTGTCCACGAAAATCTTGTGTGTTTTTCACATAACTTGTGTAATGGTCTTGCTATGTCAGCGTAACCTTTGATAAATTTTCTATAGTAACCTGTGAGACCCAAGAAGCTTCTTACTTGCTTCTGAGTATTTGGTTTTGGCCAATCTTTAACTGCACTTATTTTGCTCTCATCAGTGTGGATGCCATCTTCAGATACCACATGACCTAGAAAGGTGATTGACTTCTGGAAAAAGAGGCACTTTGATGCTTTCAATTTTAAATTGTAGTGTTGGAGACGTTGAAACACATCTCTCCAGCCTTTCTAAGGATTCCTGTACAGTCTTTCCTGGTGTGATGATGTCATCCATATAAAGTAAAGACTGTATCCATTGTAGTCCCCTGAGTACATTTTCCATTAACCTCTGAAAAGTTGCCGGACTGTTAACGAGTCCGAACGGCATGACTTTGAAGTGGTACAAAGCCGTTATTGATGTTGAGAAGGCTGTCTTATGTTTATCACTTTCATCCATCTGTCACTTGCCAAAATCCACTACAAAGGTCCATACTGCTGAACCATTTGTTTCCAGCCAGTGCCTCCAGACAATCGTCAACGCGAGGAATGGGGTAGGTGCATCCACCTTGGTAACTAAATTTAATTTCCTGTAGTCGACGCAAAATCTGGTGGACCCATCTTTCTTCGTTATAAGCACAATTGGCGAAGACCATTCACTGTCAGATGGCTCAATAACACCCTTTTGAAGCCATGCGTTCTACCTCTATTTTTTCATTTTCTCGTTTACCTAATGGTTGGCGCCTTGGAGCTTGTTTGATTGGCTGTGCGTTACCAGTATTTATTTTATGCTTAACTTTATCAGTGCATCCCAACTCGTCGATTGATGTAACAAATATATTCTCAAATTTATTTAGCACGCCTGCAAATTTTTGCTTTTCTTCCATATTCAAATGAATTGAACTCTTTTCAAATGTTTCTTTTAGATGGTTTGGTACACTTAAAGGATCATGACTGGCTTCTACATTTGCTGAAATGTTTGCACATTTAAATAACTCGGTATGATGATTTACAAAGTCCAAAACTTTCTCCTGGATGAAGAAGAAGACTTTTTTTTTACTATTTTTGATAATACCTACTCCTACATTTGAACTATGCGGATCAATTAATCCTTCTATTACTTGTACATTTGGATCTTTCATAGTTTTAATATTCTCTATATAACCAGTTGCCGGAAGTTGTTCACTTTCAGGAATCGTTACATTTACATAGGCATATGATTGCGAAGGAATTTCAGTGAGCTCACCCACGGTTACTCTACAAACGCGATTAGCTTCATGACTCGCATAACACTGAACACGCTCGCCTGACCTTAATACCAATTGAAGATCATCAAAATCTAACCGCTTTGCATGCTTAAGGATAAAATCTTGGCCTATAATACCATCTGTGGTAATGTCACACACTATAACAGGATAATTAATTTCTTCTTGACCTAATTTTATTTGAAATTGCTCTCTTCCATATATTTTTATATTGGAACCATCAGCACCTTGAACACTTATATTTCTATTTCTAACTGAAAGAGATTCAATGCCTAATTGATCAAATGTATGCTTTGAAATAAGTGTAGCTGTACTACCACTATCTAAAAGAAAATTAACTGGTTTTCCATTCATGTAACCTTTAACATAAAGACCATTATCAATACCAATCATTATCAAAATTTCCTGTACCTACTCGACTATACCTATTGATGCTACTAAACAGCTTTTCTTTTGAACAACTTGTACCCATATAATTGACCGATTCACTTTCTTTATTAAAAAAACTTCTTTTTCACTCATTTCAGGACACGTCACAACATTTTCATATTCCTCTGAAACAGGTCTCTTTCCTTTGTTCGCCGCTCTCGACCTACAGAGTAGACGGTGACCCGTTTCCCGAACTTTCATTACCATTTGATGAAGCTCCATGACTGCTGCTCTCACTGTACCTTCGTGGACAATCACGCGCGAAGTGCTCCAGAGAACGACATATATAACATCTACGAGGACCATTATTTCCACGTAGGGATCCCTTTTCAATACGATCTAGCCTTATCTGTATCGATCGCAGAGCCCGCTGCACACCATCCTCAGATCTTTCATTTTTCGGCTGCCATCTAACTTTTCGCTCATAATCACCCTGCCTTTGAACTACTCTTTCATCTTCAGAGCTCTCAATTTGTCTAACCAGGTTTCTTCTTCTTTCAACATTGGATTCATTCAACAAATCTTCGTACCTTTCCACTACCTCTACTGCTTCTGCGATTGTTTGACAATCCCTGTCCATTACTCGGCATTTCATATCGACAGACAACGCTTTACAGAACTGTTGCAAAGCAAGTGTTTCCTGTGCCGCCGGTTCAAGGTTACTATAAGCTTTTCGTGCTAACAACCTCAGATCATCCCCAAAAGCTGCGATAGATTCTCCTACCAACTTAAGCCTTGTCTGGAATTTTGAGACATACCTGGTCTGTTGTCTGGCAGCACCAAACCTCTGTTCTAAAGCATGTGCAAGATCAGCGAAAGAACGCTTATCATGTCCTGCAAGAGTCGTATTAGAAAGCTCGTGCTTGACCTTCGTAAAACAAGCTGCCAATGTGAGCAACTTCTCTTGTGTTGTCCACTTGCCAAGTTCTGCACAGTCTTGAAAGTGTGAAAAGTAATTGTTCCCAATCTTCATTACCACCTGTATTTATCTTGGTTTAATAATAATAGCTGGTCTCTTATTATGACAAGCAGTTGTTTATATTTTGACATCTGATTTCTCTGTCCTGGTCACGAAACCTTGTAGGGGAGACTCCTTCTTCCCTTATATCTCCTTGACCCATGTTAAACTCAACTTCAGAATCAGAGTCACCCATATTTTCAATAGTACGTTTCCAATATTTAAAGCGGACGTTGTTTTACCTGCCAGCAGGGGGTTCTGGTATGACATTTGATCTTTTGTTGTTGTTTTCCACTAGGACTTTGTAAAGTTCAGATGGTATAATCACTTCAATAACTTCTCGATATAATGGTGATAGACTTTTCTTTAATTCCTTATGAATGTTCCATGTTTTTATAGGCAAGAGTTCTGGATATCCTGTAGAATGATATCTTCACTTCTGACACCACGTGTAATACTCAGTGTATAGGACGGGGTGGTGTGTAGTCCTCGGTATTATGATTAAATAGGTATATTCTTGAATGGCCTGTACGCAGATTTATACTAATAATGGAATTAAAAAAAGACTTCACCCTGTGGTTATTTATCTGCTTAATTTAGCTCAATCTGGGTATGTCCAATTTAGTGGTGTAATACCTTTTACTGATTATTTTATAACAACAGCATTTAAAACATTTGTATATTTATTAAACAATAACTGTAATAAGAAATTATATTTGAACACAACAAAACTTGATTCTCTTTATTGTTCTTATTAATAATATATAAGTGATGTTAACTGTCTTTTCGCGGAAATGGTGCCTTTTCGTTTAATATATAGAGGATACCATAGAAGAATGCGTTACGGGTGCGCGGTTACGTATATGTTTAATCAATTAATGTAAAAATCAAGAGAAAAAAGTTACGCCGTAACTAGAATGTAACAGTTGCGCACACAAAGATACACAGTAACTATATAATGACTTAGTTCACCTTGGTTACGGGATGGTAATTAGTTACGGACAATTTACAAAGTTTTCCTAGTGGACCAAATGTTTTCTTGACATTGGTTACGCTTATTCGAACCAGAACCGCCAAATGAAGTTTTTTTTGTAAAATAGGGTTAATCTTTTCTGAGCACTCAAGGATTACAATTTGTCAGGCATCCGAGTGTCTTTTGTCAATTTTTTCAAAACGATTTCTCTGAAACCACTTGGTCAAATTTAAAGAAATTTTCCTGGGATGTTTCTAGCATGAAGCTCTATTGAAATTGTTCAAATGATTCTGCTCCATTGAACATCTGGGTCGGAAGGGCCAAAAGTAGATTTAAAAATTAAATCTTGGATAATTAGCATGAAAAATTGTGTAGTGGACCTCTACAAAAATAATTTGAATTATAGCCCTTGTGGTCAAATTTGGCCCCACCCTTAAATGTTCTTATTTTGGATATACTTATGGATAATGGTTAATCATCATAAATGGGTTATAGTTCAGAATAAAAATTGAGGGTTAATTTTTTCACCAAGGCATGCTGCTTCATAGGAAACTATTTTAGCAACAAAATGCTTTATAGATATTATTAATTAAAAGGGGAATTTTACATTCAACATTTATTTTTTCATGTAACAATTTTTTTATATCACCAGGATAGAAAATAAACAACTGAATAAAGCTGTACATTATACATATTATATTTATAGAGTGAAGATTTGTTTGTACAAACTATAGAAGATAAAGATTTAGATGGTCCACCACCAGCCAAGAAACTCAAGAAGAGTCAATGCACACCTCTCTTTATGAATGCATACACCATGGCAGGTAAAATAAATTAGTTAATTTTCTTATTTTTTGTAAGAAATTTTCTTAACTGCATTTGAATTGATGAGTGTATGACTTTTTGTCCAGCATAAGAGAAGTTTGGTAGCAAGTGTAAGACTGCTGCTGGCCTTGAACTGGAGAATTTGCTTGCCTGTTGATGTTGTCAATTCTTGTTTGATAATAATTGTCACAAAAGAAATATATTTAAATTTAATATGCCATTTATGTCAGTTCATTCTGTAAAATTTTGTCTTGTTTAGGAATGTGTCAGCTGGATGTATAGTCAGTTTCTCATTGGGCAAGGTCAGAATTGACGATAAAAGTATGGAATAAAGTAATTTCAGTTTAGTAGTATTGTTTAGTTAAGACCCTATTATTTGGTGCTGTATTCATGATATTACTTATTTATTGAAGTTTTTACCCATTGTTAGATGTTTCATTTATGTGATTCTGGTAATTTTATACATGTAGGTTGTTGATGTCTGTTGAAAGATTGTACATATTGTACATGTTGTACAAACTGTAACATTAAACTTTCATGTGATAAAGAACAATATATAAGAACACTCTTCAGTCATGTATTGTAAAACTATCAAAACCTAAAATACATGTAGAAGAAAAATGTACAATGATGCCACATCTTACATTTAACTGTTATAGTCTGATTTTATTGACTTGTCAATTATAAATACATTATAATACATGTACTCATTTAAATATTCGATCCCACTTTGGTTCTGTGTAGTTTACGAGAATTAACATGGAGTATATAACTAATATTTTGAAAAGTCACACTAGGTTAATGTATAGGCTGCCGTCACATCTGCAATAGCACAGTCATAAGTGATTTCCTACTATACCAGAGGTCTGTGGTTTGTTCCTTACGGTTGCCATTATTTCAGACCAACTCTTTCTTTATTTTTGCAGTATATGTACATGGAAATTGCGGAGTGTTAGCAAAATTGTCTACACGACTATGAAGCAACTTAGAAACACAGTTTTGATTATTTGTATTTTGTTTTATGGCATTGAAATTATACTTATTGATTGCAATCTGAATGAATTTTAAATATTAATTCTAAAACCATGTTATTTAAATAGAGTAATATAGACTTTACCAAAATAAGTGCAAAATATATTAAAACAAAACAAACATTATAAAAAACAATCATAGCTTCAATAAAGTTTAATAATGTAAATAAGAAAAAACATGGACCTACGCGATCTCGATCTTACAATATGTAGGACTTGAAGAAATTCCAAACTTGTTATTTACCCTGTTGCGCTATTATGCTCAGTATACATGTAATTATTTCATAGACACAAATCACATCTTACTGCATACATCTCATGAAAGTTGAAACTTACTGAAAATCTATCGAAGATTAAAAATTAATATCTTGTGTGCATTGACCGTATAATCAATATGTAATTGACAGGTTCATAAAATCAAACAATATTTGTTATTGATGTAAATTATGTTTATTTTAGTTTCTAAACAATGTTTCATTTGGGTTGTACATGTTATCACTCTTTGTTTTATATAGATGCAGGGGCAGTAATCCATACACACTCAAAACATGCAGTGATGGCAACGCTTCTCTACCCTGGTACTGAGTTTAAAATAACACATCAAGAAATGATCAAGGGCATTAAAAAGGGAACTTCATGTAGGTATATAATATGTAATGATTTATCTATTTACTGTAATATGTTACTGAATATAATTCATATGGCCAGTATTTATGTGGGATGTATTTGTCTGTAAATGTCAAACTGATGTCTGTTTTCAAATCCTCTCAACTTGTCTGGTAACAGCAAGCCTTTATGCCATATGTAGATATAATAACAGACTGTATAATCTATTTTATACTAGTGTGTCTGTATAAGATACAAATGATGATTTTCATGCATAAACTTGTCCAGACTTCCAGCCTATGTACATACAAACGATGATTTTCATGCATAAAACTGTCCAGACTCCATGCCTATGTACATGTTGTTTGTTCAATTATTGAGTCATATACAGAAATTGTGAGTTAGTATTTGTAAGCAGTCTTGTCTTTGTAGCCCAGTCTGTACTGTTGAAATTTAAACACTTCACAGCTTTGGTGACATCTGAAGGGTACAGGGTGTTGGGTTTGATTGCGTCACATGGTTTTTGCATGCTCTGAAAAAAAAATCATGCAATGTCACGTATAACCATGAATGAAAGAGTTTTGAATATTTATATTGTAAGCTGTATAATATGAACTCATCCAAACCAGATAATAATATTTTATATATCACTTTGATTTAGTGACAAATTCTATCAAAGCTATGTAAGTTTTCTTGTAATTTCATGACAAGGAATTACTGAGTTTTAAATAGATTTATTAAAGCTGTCATTGATTCAGTGCAAATCATACCAACGGAATATCAATATTGAATGACAAATATCAAAGATGCACAAATATGTCAATAATTACTTATAATTACTTTTCTTTTATTCTCTTTTGCACCCAATTAAATAGAGTTCTATTCATACAGTTCTGATGTGTGTTTTTTATAAATGCCCATTGCATGTATTTTGTTGTCACTGCTATGAGATATGTCTTTTACATAAAAAACAGCATAGTTTTAGACATGAACACATGCTTCTATTACAGTCAGACACTTACCTTATAAGGTGTCCTGGATTATATAATCAGTTGTCACCTTGTCTTTTACCATTTGTTGTTGTATATATGTTTGGGACAAATTTTAATTATTTCTAGACAATTAATAAGTCAAAATTTAAGGTTTTTTATCAAATTTTTATCATTTATTGATGATAGAGAAAATATCAACGATACATCAATATTGTTTCTACCAATGACAGCTCTAAATTTCTGAGTATTGTATATTTAACAATATAGAGAACTTAAATTTTCTTAAATTTACATGATATTATAATTAACAATAAAAAATGGCATTATTTTCAATTTAAAGTGTGGTTAATATTACAGTCAGACACTTACCTTACAAGTTGTCCTGGATTATATAAACAGTTGTCACCTTGTCTTTTTCCATTTATATAGTCTTATAGATCAACACTTAATAAATAACAATGTAGAGGTTTAGTTGTTAAGTCAGATGTTTATAAATAAGTTTCTTTCATCCTTGGGAAGAAATAGGATCTATAGAAGATTTACATCATTGACATCATTGACTTTATTGTCTAGCATTCTTGTGTGTTGCCTATTATTGACAGCTAAATTTATGAGGTGTATTATAATGAATAAATTAGAGAAAACAAAAGTTTTATTAAATTATATAAAATAAAGTGAATATATTAAACATTTAGACTAATTATGATCAATTATATTTTAACAGCTGAATATTACCAGTTTGATGATGAGTTAGTGGTTCCTATTATTGAGAACACCCCGCATGAGCGTGACTTGAAAAAACGTATGGCAGCGGCCATGGAAGATTACCCAGAATCCTGTGCTGTACTGGTACGTCGGCATGGAGTTTATGTGTGGGGACCAACTTGGCAAAAAGCAAAAACAATGTAAGATATAATTAGAGAATTAATGAGTATAAATATATTCATCATGAATTAATTTAGGGGTTGAATTCAGTTGCATGTTTATGGAGAATTGGTAAGGACTTGTATTGACCACAGGACAACTTGTGACATTACTTCCTTATATGTATATTGTATAAACTTAAAAAATCTTCTGTTAAAAAACACGGAGCTAGAGTTTAGATATTAAGCATGAATTATCTTCTAGTGAGTGTCTACCAAGTTTATTCAAATAAAAGCCCTGGGGACAAAATAGGTCCACCCAGAGGGGGGTGGGATCATTTTTTTTTTCCCTATATGTGTATAGTAAAAACTTATAAAACCTTCTTAGAGCTAGAGCTTAGATAGTTATCATGAAACATCTTTAAATGGGTGTCTACCAAGTTTGTTCAAATAAAAGCCCCTTGGTTAAAATTGGTCCCGCCCCGGGGGCCTATATACAAGTGAGCGATTTCAGGGCCATCATGGTCCTCTTGTTTTTTTGTTGTTTTTTTTACTGCTTATTCTTTTTCTAGCTCACCAGAGCCGTAGGCTCTGGGTGAGCTATTAGTATAAAAGGGGGATGCTGCGGCATGCGTTGTCCATCTTCATGCGTCAACAGTCGTCTTCTTCTCTGAAACTACTAAGCAGATTTATTTCAAATTTGGTCTATAGCATCCTTGTGACAGTCACACTTGAATTTGCTCATATCATTCCAATTGGCCCCTTTTAGGGATCAGCAGAGCTAAAAATAGAAAAACCTTTAAACATCTTCTTCTACAGAACTAATGGATTGATGATCACCAAACTTTGTCTGTAGCATTCTTAGGTAGTCTTTTATCAAGTTTGCTAATATTATTTTGATTGACCCCTTTTAGGGGTCTCTAGGGCTAAAAATAGAAAAACCTTTAAACATCTTCCCCTACAGAACTAATTGATGGATGATCACCAAACTTTGTCAGTAGCATTCTCGGGTAGTGTTTTATCAAGTTTGCTCATATGAATTTGATTGGCCCCTTTTTAGGGCCACTAAAGCTAAGAATAGAAATACCTTTAAATGTCTATTTCTAGAGAACTATTTGATGGATGATCACCAAACTTTGTCTGTAGCATTCTTGGGTAATCTTTTATCAAGTTTGCTAATATTATTTTGATTGGCCCCTTTTAGGGGCCGCAAAAGCTAAAAATAGAAATACCTTTAAATGTCTATTTCTACAGAACTAATTGATGGATGATCACCAAACTTTGTCTGTAGCATTCTTGGGTAGTCTTTTATCAAGTTTGCTCATATGAATTTGATTGGCCCCTTTTAGGGGCCGCTTAAGCTAAAAATAGAAATACCTTTAAATGTCTATTTCTACAGAACTAATTGATGGATGATCACCAAACTTTGTCTGTAGCATTCTTGGGTAGTCTTTTATCAAGTTTGCTCATATGAATTTGATTGGCCCCTTTTAGGGGCCGCTTAAGCTAAAAATAGAAATACCTTTAAATGTCTATTTCTACAGAACTAATTGATGGATGATCACCAAACTTTGTCTGTAGCATTTTTGGGTAGTCTTTTATCAAGTTTGCTCATATTATTTTGATTGGCCCCTTTTAGGGGCCGCTTAAGCTAAAAGTTAAAAAAACTTTAAACATCTTCTTCTATAGAACTAATTGATGTATAATCACCAAACTTTGTCTATAGCATTTTTGGGTAATCTTTTAACAAGTTTGCTCACATTTATTTGATAAGCCCCTTGTTTGGGGCCGCTCAAGCTAAAAATAGAAAAACCTTTAAACATCTTCTACTTCAGAACCAATTGATGTATGATCACCAAACTTTGTCTGTAGCATTTTTGGGTACTCTTTTATCAAGTTCGCTTATGTTAATTTGATTAGCCCCCTTTTAGGGGCCACTAAAGCTGAAAATAGAAAAAACCTTCGAACATCATTTCCTACTGTAATAATTGATAGACGATCACCAAACTTTGTAGCATTCTTAGGTAGTCTTTTATCAAGTTTGCTCATATTAATTTGATTAGCCCCGTTTAAGCTAAAGCTTAAATGCCCCAGGTCTTGGCATTTCTTCAAATTATTGTTTAAACACATTCTATGCTCAAATTTAAAATTAGAATATATTGACATTCCAACACTGAAAAGCAGTTGTTTCTGGTGAGTGACTCAGGGCCATTATCTCCCTCTTGTTTTGTTTTTTTTTAGCCCAATTTAATTTCTACTACTACAAAAAATTTGAATACCACCTTCAGCATTTGTAACAAATAGCATATGCATTTGATCATTTCATGGGTCCCCTGAACTGTTTTCATGGGTTTACTAAACTATTTGTAGTTTACATAATGTTTTTTAACTAAATGAATATTACATGCTTTCCAGCGATTATTTTACCGTGAATGTGGAAAAAAGAGATGTAAATATACATGTATTGGCAAATAACACACTCAATCTAATAAAGGAAAAATGTACATAATTACTACAAGTACATAAATATTTGTGCACTTAATGTTGAAATGTAACAAATATCTACAGGTCTTAGAAGTTATTATAGAATTTTGGATATATTTCACTATGAACATTTTGACATTATAAATTGATGATGCCTTAAGGGAGGGTGCATGCTGATGAAAAATTCAATATAACTGAGTTAATCTTTGCCATGCTGGCCTTGACTGAATCTGCCTAATTGTATAGAAAAGTGCAGATCAAGATCAGTTTAATCTATTCTTCTTTTAAAATTTTACCAGATGGTTTTTTCTAGATAGGAAAATGGGTAGGTCCAATGTTGCGTAACATTTTTAGCATGGCAAGAGTTAACATTACATTTACAACAATAAACATTCGCTCAATAAAGGTGGGTGAAAAATTGTCAGTAAAGTTCTAAGATTGAAAAACATCTTACTGCAATAGTGACCTGAGTGTTGTTTTGACAACTTTGCGCTTAACCCATTACTTCATATACACGCCTTTTAACGCCTTTTTCACCCCCCCCCTTTTTGTTGTCTCAAATGGTGAAAAAATGCATTATTTAGGCCCTAAACACTTGTTTTTGTTTGAGAAATGTTGTTAAAAAAAGTGACCACTTTTTCGGCGCGGCCCCCCAACCAAAAGATACATCAGGGGGTTGCCAGAAGGGGGATGTGCCCCCTTCTGTTTGGGGGGGTTTGAAGGGGGGCGGAGTCCCCCTCATCGCCAAGAAAATTTTGGACTTGTGAGAGGCTATAAATGACCCCAGATTGATCATAAGGTAACGTGTAACCAACGCTGAAAAGCATTTGACTCTATCTCAATCCATTGAGAAGTTGCAGCACTTTGAAATCAATTATAATGGAAAAAATCAACGCAAAATAGTGATTTTTGGCAATTTTGAGATGTCCCCTCGTTGCCATGGTAACAGAAAATTTAAGCCTGAGCATGTTGTTGAAAGGGCAATGGTCCAGTTAACATTTGTGCCAAGTTTGATTAGTGTTGAAGCAGTTTTTATAGTATTATAGCAATTTGAACTTGTAACGGGAGACTTTTCAATGAAAACAGCCATTTTTCTCAAAATGCTCATGAAGTAATGGGTTAATACATGTATATAGTGAATTGTGTAAAGTATATTTCTCTGAAGTAAGTCGGTCATTAATGAGCACAAATTTTATTCCTCATATAATTATTTGATATAGGTAATGATTAAGGTATTGTGTATTTTCAGGTGTGAATGTTACGATTACTTGTTTGAGATAGCAGTAGACATGATGAAATCTGGGCTAGACCCAGCTGAAATACCTAAACCTCCAAAAGGTGCTTATCTACAACTGTAATATGTTAGGGCAATGCCTATCTACAACTGTAATATGTTAGGGCAGTGCCTATCTACAACTGTAATATGTTAGGGCAATGCCTACCTACAACTGTAATATGTTAGCAGTGCCTATCTACAACTGTAATATGTTAGGGCAGTGCCTATCTACAACTATCATATGTTAGGGCAGTGCCTATCTACAACTGTAATATGTTAGGGCAATGCCTACCTACAACTGTAATATGTTAGCAGTGCCTATCTACAACTGTAATATGTTAGGGCAGTGCCTATCTACAACTATCATATGTTAGGGCAGTGCCTATCTACAACTGTAATATGTTAGCAGTGCCTATCTACAACTGTAATATGTTAGGGCAGTGCCTATCTACAACTATCATATGTTAGGGCAATGCCTATCTACAACTGTAATATGTTAGGGCAGTGCCTATCTTCAACTATAATATGTTAGGACAATGCCTATCTACAACTATAATATGTTAGGGCAGTGCCTATCTACAACTGTAATATGTTAGGGCAATGCCCTGATAGTGTTCTAAAAGAATAAGGAGAACTGATATATACAATTTACACCAGTATATTACCTCTTACAGTGATTGTGTTCTTTATTCTGGTTTTATATTAAAGGAACTCCACTGAGGTCCCAAAGCCTTGAAACATAAGATTTTAATTTTTTACATGGATCAACTGGGGCACTAAAAATAGAAAACTAGAAAAAGACGCATGAGCTTGTAACAAACATACTCATAATCAAATTTAAAATTGATTTTTGTGCAATTTGTTGGCTTATTAAGGTTAAAAGCATTTAAATGATTTTCATTTTGACTTAATTTTGCACAGCAAAAATGACTATTCTGAAACAATTGAGCTAATGATCTGAAACTTTGCACACAAATAGTTGGTATAGACCTACATCAAAATGGTATACAAAATCCAGAAATGATATTTCCCATCATGTTAATATGTCCAAAAAAAACTTTCAGTGGAGTCCCTTTAAGTTTTATTGATGCTATATAATGGTTTACAAGAGTATTACAAGCCTAGTATTTTATATAAAGATACATTTTATATACTGTAATATCTCAGGCGATTTTTATACTAATTATACCAACATCAACCTCATTATATCTACATTAGACCAATACATATACATGCAGAGTGTATTAATGTATGACTTGTTATATATGTCTTCTTACATACATGATTATCTACTGTTTACATTGGTGCTGGAAAAACCTGTCTTACACCCCTAGTGTTATGCTTTAAATGATGTCATCCATTGGCACCTTTTTTGAATGAATTGCATTGTTAGGATTACATCATTTTACCATTATGAATAAAGATGTAAAGAAAGATGTAAAGTCTTATGTTCCAATAAGGAAAAAGTGTTAAATGAAATCATTTATTTTTGTAATTTTCTTGTTGGAATGTTATTTTTATGTTATAAACAAGAAAAAAAACCTATGCTTATAAGATATCCTCTATATACAAAACATCTTAACAAGAATTTTTCAATGTTATTATGTTACATAAAAATCCTACATAACAATGTTACATTGTAATCCTCTATGACAATGGTACATTACAATGTTACATGACAATGTTACATGACATGACCACATAACAATGTTACATGACATGGCCACATAAAAATGCTACATACTAATGTTACATGACAATGTTACATAACAATGTTGCATGAAATTGCCACATGATAATGCTACATGACATGGCCACATAACAATGCTACATATTAATGTTACATGACAATGTTACATAACAATGTTGCATGAAATTGCCACATGATAATGCTACATGACAATGTTATATGACAATGCCACATGATAATGCTACATGACAATGTTATATGTCAATGCCACATGACAATGTTATATGACAATGCCACATGATAATGCTACATGACAATGCCACATGACAATGCTACATGACAATGTTATATGTCAATGCCACATGACAATGTTATATGACAATGCCACATGATAATGCTACATGACAATGTTATATGACAATGCCACATGACAATGCTACATGACAATGTTATATGACAATGACACATGATAATGCTACATGACAATGTTATATGACAATGCCACATGTCAATGTTATATGACAATGCCACATGACAATGTTACATAACAATGTTGCATGAAATTGCCACATGACAATGCTACATGACAATATTATATGACAATGTTATATGACAATGCCACATGATAATGCTACATGACAATGTTATATAACAATGCCACATGACAATGCTACATGACAATGTTATATGACAATGCCACATGATAATGCTACATGACAATGTTATATGACAATGCCACATGACAATGCTACATGACAATGCTCTCTAAAGTTAATATCTATATCCTTAATATCCATACAAAACAAACTACTCGGCAGTATTTTATATTATACACTTGTTTATGTACTAACTTATTCAGTGCATGTATATCTAGATATGACTGTCATGGCTTCCTGGAACTATAGTAATAAAGGATTCTTTAGGAAGTTAAAAGGAAGTTAACATTTTCATCCAATATGTTTGTTACAGCTTTGCTACAAAATAATCTATTTGTAAATTTAATTTGTAACTTCAAAATTGTTATTCCTAGAGGTTTCCACAATACAATAATTAACTATAGAAAGTATACAGTAATAATCAACATGTGCTAGGACTATTACATGTCAGGTTGATTTGCTGCAGAATAGTGCAGAAATAATGTACTTTTTGTTTTGTCATTCTGTTTTATTTTAATTATTTGTTTTTGTTTGGTTGTATCCTTTTATGAACCAAGTGGAAACAAAAACGTTAAGATAAAAAATATACCTTTACAAGGTTTACACAGTCAAGAAAAAAAGGTCAGGGAATTTTTTTTCATGATCAGGGAATTGTAATTCATGTAATTTAAATGTTTGTTTTAATAAGATGTATTGTTATTACTTGTTGGAGGAATCATTTTAATTGTTGGTTAGTCATTTCATCATATAACTAACATTAATGTGTTATTCTTTGTGAAGTATAATATTTTCAGGGAGATGTTAAGATTGATCGGTGTTTAACCCTGACTTTTATTTACATTTTAAGATGTTCCATTACTGTAGATGTATTATAATCTACACATTGAGGGGAAATCATGAAGATTTATTATTGTATAGGGACTTATTTCACTGCCAATATGCACTTAAATTGCTTAACAAAACATATTTCATGTTACACTGGTGCATTACATTTACAAGACTTCATGTTATTTGTTGCATACAAATTGATCATTTTACAGAGTACTGACTTTGCATTACCTCACTTATGAAAATTATGTTTTGTTTTTCTTGCACAGTTAGTGTTTTGATATAATTATATATTTGTATAGATTTAGTCAGGGAAATATACATAAACACATACAAGTATTACACTGATGTAGAACTATGTTGTACGCTACCCTCTTATTGCCAATTAAGCTTTCAAATTTATTTCTAATTGGGTTCAATTACTGTTTTTATGATAGTACACAAAATTATTTGTTTTAAAATGAATATCTTTAAATAGAAATAAATTATATGTATTTGTTGACAAGTGTCTTCTTACTCTTTTTCTTTGTTCTTGTCATGGTCTTGACTTTATCATAGATTTTTTATACTGATGTTTATTTGCCATCAAACTACGATTAGTTAATCATGTTAGTCGGATGTTATTGCCCTAACAGGACACTGTAAAAATAGTTTATAAATAAACACAGATTAGCATGTTATGACTGTAACTCATTTAAGATAAAGTAAGAGATACCACAGTGTGGCTCTCAGTGTTCAATTCTTTATTTTTTGCCTGTTTAGATGGAGTTAATACGAGAAAATGTCTGAATTTCCAGGTACTTATTTTGCCGCTGGCTTATAGATAGATTTATCAGAGCGCATCAAAGAGAATGTAAATAAAGCAAACACACACACATATTTCCCCCTGATAGTAGTAAAACATATAACAAAGGATTTTAAAGTATTAATGACATTATTTCTATATGTACACAAAGTTTGTATGGAAAGCCATTTGCACAATAAATTCTCTAGAGACTACTAGCTTTACACAACTCTTCCATATTTCTTGTATTGATTTTCACTTTTCCTGATAAGTATTGGGAATTGTATTTATAGAAAATGAATTTTTTTTTGAAGCAGCATGTCTCTAGATTAGTTTTAATTTCCATGAAAACTTTGGAGAGAAAAAAACTTGATCTAAGTAAGAATGTTGTCAAGATTACAAGTTAAGTGATGTAGCCTAGTATAAAACTGTTATTTTCCAGGAAATTACCTGTAACCTGTCAAACTATAACACAAACTTCTCTTAACTCCATTAGTAACAGGGTAGAATTTTTGTGATAAAAGTAATAAATTCTGTCATTTTTTAGCATTTTAATAAGCCTAAAATTTCACACCTGGTTTGTGAATGTATATACAAAATTTATTCTTTTATATTTTTTTGTTGTTGAAGGTTTTATTTTACTCTCCAGGAGAGAATCTGTCTCAAGGGATACTGACATTTGTTGTTGTGTTTTGCAATTGACAGCATATATTTTTTACTTCAAGTATTTCTGTAAACCTCAGACTGAAACTATATCTTCAAATTATTTAAGTATCTTAGGACTGACAAATTTTGAAAGAAGTAAGTTTGGTAGAGCTCATGTATGATATATTGTTTATTTGTGCCATGATTTTATTTGTTATATTAACTTAGAAAAATGTGGGGTTTTAGGATTTATAAGAATTTCTTGATTGCATACTATGCTCGTACAAGGGGAAGTTAGCTTGGGAATTTTGTGTTAATATGTTTTACTTTGTTTAAATTTCTGTATTTTTACACCTTGTATCTATCTGAATGCTTAACCAAACTACTTTTATAGTTATAAACTGTGTAATACATGTATAGATATACTCAATCTCCAGTATAACTAAATAATTGTTTTAATCATACACCCAAAATACAAATTCTCCATAATTCACATGTAGCTCACTCGGAATGATTTTTAGCTCGACTTTTCTATGAAAAGGGGAGCTATCCTACTCGCCCCGGCGTCGGCGTTGGCGTCACACCTTGGTTAAGTTTTTCGTACCACCCCACTTTATTTCAGAAGTATTACAAGTATGGCTTTGAAACTTACCATACTTGTTCACCATCATAACCTCCATCTACAGACAA